TGATGAGTCATTGACGCTGTAATTTGATTTTAATACTCCTCGTCTTCATCACATGCTGCACGAGGAGCGTCTCCCTGTAATCCATATTCATATAAACATGATTTAATAATATACGCTTATATATCACGGTATTAATTACGTCTTCACCGTCTGGATCATAAACTGATAATCTCTTCGTTCTCTGTCTCCAAATGTCACCGTGAGGTAACGCTACCTGATCCACAGCGAGCTGCACTTTGCTTTGGGTTTTTAAAAGTCGTTAAATCTTGTGAGAAAGTTTTCTGAAAGTTGCAAAACCTGGAAAGAAAGTCGATTAATATTAATATTGCAGGACAGATGCTAAATGTAGTCAAAGTTGCTGAATCTACCAAGAAAGTCGCTATCTAGTGAGAAAGTTGTTGAGAGTCGATTTATCTAGCCTGAAAGTTGTTTGAACTAGTGAGATTGCGGCTTCGTCTAGCAAAAAAAAAAGAAGATTCAGCAAGATATCTGCCTAGCGAGAAAGTCTCTAATCTAATAGCTGTGTATTGCACTTAAAGGGGACCTATCATGCAAAATGCACTTGTGTACGTCTTTTCTACATGAATATGTGTCCCCGGTGTTCCAGGGAACTCACCAAGTGTCAGAAAACACAACCCTCTCTATTTTCCTCCATACCCAAATCTCTAAAAAAGGGGCTGCAACGGATCTGATAAAAACTGATCCAGATTTGAACACTGTCCTGACGTCAGGACGGTGGCGCTACGGCTATTGGGCCAACTCCACCAATCAGGAGGAGACAGCCACGGCCATTGCCGTTCCAAAGCGCTGGAGACGCTGTAGTACATATGCCAGGCCTGTAGGTGGTGCTGTTCTCACTGAATCAGCCCTTGCTAAAACAGAGCTAAAAAATGTCAAATTGAGCGAAATGAGGCATGGCTAAAATGCATGATCTGTTTGGTATTTTGAAAAAGAAAAGTATAAATATGCCTTATATAGGTATGGCCCTACACTATATTATTATAATATAGCATGATAGGTCCACTTTAAACTAGCGAGAAAGTCTCTAATGGTAAAAGTCACTAAAAGTCAGTGGATCTAGCGAGAAAGTCGTCTAAATGATCACGATCGAAGCTTATCTGGCCAAAAAGACGCTTATATAGCGATAGAGAAACCTAATTTAGCTAAATTGAACTTCTAAAGACACTGAATCTAACCCCCAAAAGAGGCATTATGAATATATTACGTAAACAAAGAACGTTGCTATCGTTAGCTATAAGCTAGCAGCCTGTTGCCGGGTAGATAGACGGACATTCATGTATTTTACTGTACTAAATAATGTATTTGTAATCTTTGAATCGTCATGCGTCACCAAACCCTGACTCTGCCTCCTGGGATGTGTTTCTACATTTAGGGAGTTTTAAAGTTGTGCAAGGTGGAAAGAAAGTTGCTTAGTTTAGCCTGAAAGTTATTCATCTCGTGAGAAACGTTCCCCTTTCCCCGTGGAAGCGTCTCCTGTGTGTTTCGACATTAGGGAGTTTAAAGGTGTCCCAGGTGTGGAGACAGACTCGAACTGAGCTTTAATCAGAGAGCTTTAGTGCAGATGAAGGTGAGGAGGAGACGCTCTCCTCGTTAAAGATTCATCTGAACTAATCACAGAGAGAGAAGCTGAGACTCTCTGACCTGAAACGTGCTTCCTGTGAATCACATCCAGACTCTCTGCGCCGCTTTGGACATGAAAGAATAAACAGATTGAAATAAGAGATGAAGGAGGAGGATTCAGATCAGAGCTGCAATGTGTGATGAAACCTTGAGGGTTCAGTTAGGGGATCACAGCAGGGGGCACCACTCATTCAGTCTGTGTCAATGTGGAGCTCAGGTTGTTCAGACCATTAGGGTCTAATAAAACAAAAAAAGTCACTCAATTTAGCGGGATTGTCATTGTTTGTTTTTCAGTTTCATTTTGAAGTGTATAACCTCTCTGTGTCTGGTCTCTTTGACTCGGGGATCTCTTCTGCTCCAGTTTATCTCAATTACTTTATGAACGTCACTATTTTGTGGACTTCAGTTAGTAAAGTGTATTGAGTTTGTTCTCAGAGTCTTCAGTTTTAAACCTGCTGATAACAGAAAGGCTCTCCTCATAATCCTGCGTCTTGCTTCACTTCCTGCAATTAGCTCAGATGATGTTCTGAGACTGAGTGAGACAGAAAAGCACTGCAGATTTCCTCGGTCCGGCTGGTTTCATTAAAACAGAGAGAACTTTTTAAAGAGCCCTGAGATATTTAACAGGGATTAATTCTACAGCTCTGTTTGAAAGAAAACACAAAAACCCCTCACTCCTCTCTTGTCCTATTATTTATATTTTTAGACCACATCAGACCTTATGTGGGTCAGGTGTTACAGAATGAGGACTTTCTGTGTCAGAGACAGAAGAGGAAGTGGAGACAGAAAACGTGTCAGAAAAAACAGAAACAAACTCAGACACACAGTCCCTTGATCCTCCTTAGCAGCGGTCTGTTTTCCTTAGCAAAGGGGACCTATCATGCAACATGCACTTTTGTACGTCTTGTATACATGAATATGTGTCCCCGGTGTTCCAGGGAACTCACCAAGTGTCAGAAAACACAACCCTCTCTATTTTCCTCCATACCCAAATCTCTAAAAAAGGGGCTGCAACGGATCTGATAAAAACTGATCCAGATTTGAACACTGTCCTGACGTCAGGACGGTGGCGCTACGGCTATTGGGCCAACTCCACCAATCAGGAGGAGACAGCCACGGCCATTGCCGTTCGAAAGCGCTGGAGACGCTGTAGTACATATGCCAGACCTGTAAGTGGCGCTGTAGTCTGCCACAAAAGCAGCGAAGAAGACTTCCCGCCCATAGTTACCATGGTTACCCTTCTGTTTATTCTCCGCTGTGGCTTTCTTTCTCCCTCCCCGAGGCAAGCGTTTGCTCCTGCTGCTTTAATTCAATGCAATCCCTCCCCGTCGAGGCAAGCACTGTAATTCTCTCCGGTTAGTCCACCAGCAGATGACAAACACCCACCTCTCCGCCTCTTCCAAGGAACGAGGGGACCGTGCGGCAGAGTTTCAGTTTCAGTTTGTTTCGCCGGTCAAGATGTCCGTTAAAGTTTAAATCTTCCAGACAAAATGAGAAAAGTGCCGGTCAAAGGTCTTCTTTGTTATTTATTGAGCTTTAAAACAAATGAAGAACGACTCTATATAATAAAACACGGAGGACAGAGATCTCTTTTCCTCCCCCTCTTCTGACAGCCCAGCAGCTGATCTCAAAGCAATCCTTAGTAACGGTATGTTCTCTTCTCCTTAGCAACGCTCTGTTCTCCTTAGTAACGGTCTGTTCTCCTTAGCAACGGTCTGTCCTCCTGAAAAACGGTCTGCTCTCCTTAGCAACAGTCTGCTCTCCTTAGCAACAGTCTGTTAGCGAGTATTAACAACCTCTGAGATGTCCAAATTGACCAATCAGAATTGAGTATTCAACTAAGCCGTGTAATAAATTGTCCATTCTTTTTAATAATGTTATAACCTGCTGCTACTCCATTACATTTATATATTCACTTACTTTAAAATGCTGAATCTTACTTTCTTCTTCTTATTATTTTAATAACATGCTTGCCGCTTTATTAAATATGTTAGCCTACTCTTTATTTTGTCTTTATCTGCTCTGTCCCTTTGCTGTAACGATGTACCTGCAATAATCTGATATCATGGCATCCAGAATACAGCTCTTATAAATCATTAAGCATTCAATAATAAAAAGCTTCAAGGCTTTTGTCCTCGAGGGCCACCGTAGATTTGGCTTTAAGTCGCTGATCCATCTTAGAAAACACTCCACAACCTTTGGATTCACTGCCTCCTGCTAACGTGTGTGTGTGTGTGTGTGTGTGTGTGTGTGTGTGTGTGTGTGTGTGTGTGTGTGTGTGTGTGTGTGTGTGTGTGTGTGTGTGTGTGTGTGTGTGTGTGTGTGTGTGTGTGTGTGTGTGTGTGTGTGTGTGTGTGTGTGTGTGTGTGTGTGTAAGTGTATAAGTGTGTTTGGCACTTTATATAAACACAGTCAGAGAGACACTGGAGGAAAGTGTTTGTGTGTCGCTGCAGGTTATCGTTCTTTCTTTTGTCTCGAGCTGACATCGTTGACAGGATGACTCAAACACGACACACACACACACACACACACTCACACACACACTGACCCCTGTGTGAAAGTCAAAAGAGCATCACTCCGCCTGTCACACTGTATCAGTCGCTGCAGCCGACAAACGAGGAAACACAAACACTCACAGTGAGCTGTGAATGTGTCATACACACACACACACACACACACACACACACACACACACACACACACACACACACACACACCACAGTACACTGTACACAATACAATTCTGTATCGATTTGGAGTCATAGGTCCTGTGACATTTAAAAAAGGACTATTTTAATAATAACAAGCAGCACTACTTTCTTACAAACATTCATATCAAATAGAGAAACTGAGGCGCAGGGATGAAAGCAGAGAAGAAGACAGGAGATGATCTGCTGTGACTCTGTAGAAACAGCAGGACCTGCAGACTCTCAAACTGTCAGAGAGGTAATCTGTGTTAGATCGGCTTTTACTGAGTTTCAGGAAGATGCTGCACATTTCTGTGACGGTAGAAAACAACATCATGAAATCAAATCAAAAAGGTAAATAAATAAAAATATATATAATAACAATAAAGCGAAATTCAATAAGAACTCTGAAATATAAAAAATAAATAATAAAATAGAATAAGGAAAATAAATAATAATATTTATAGCACAAAAAAAACAAAAAAATATTTTAAAAAGAATTGAATTAAAATAAAACAAAATAAGATAAAAAAAATAATTGCAGTGTTGACCAAAAGCAAAAGCATGAGAAAAACCAGAGACATTAACCAATATAAGATGTTCCACTGAGAGGCAATCTGCACATTACTTCATGATCTGATTAATACTGAAAGTGTTTCCGTGTTCCTTCAGGTCTCGTCTCGCTGACTACCACATGAACTGCCGGCCGACGCCTCACAGCGTCACCAGCTGCCCCAACGAACACTTCCACGGCTGCCTCATGGCCTACGTGGGCCTCATCGGTGAGTGAAATAAAGGAAATAAAACTAAAACTAATATTGTTTACAGTTTCATTTCGAGCCAAAGTGACTCCAGGCTCAGATCTGGATCTCTGGGGGTTCAATCTGAGCGAGGATTGAAATGAGGTGAAGCTAAAACTATTACAAACAAATCAAATGAATGGAGAATATGCAGTCTCCATGTTAAGGCATCTCTTCACAGACACCTTTCCCTTCACCTGCACAGCATGCATGAGGATGAATTATCAGAGATGGCAAAAGTACACGCATCCTTTACTCAAGTAGAAGTACAGATACTCGTGTTTAAAAATACTCTGGTGAAAGTAGAAGTACTGACTAAACTTCTTTACTCAAGTCAAAGTAAAGAGGCTTTGAAATGTACTTCAGTAAAAAGTACCCATAACTAGCAGCTGTTTTAAAGAGTACCTGACCTCCCTTTATATTAATAGAACAATAATGTCATTGTTAGCTAATGAATGTTTCCATGCTGAACAACGGCAACATGACAACGTTTTCATTGGTCCCTCTTCTTTAGAGAAGACCAGGAAATGATGGATACACGGATCGTGTTCAAATCAATAGGCACGCAATGACTCTAAATAATAATGATCACGCCACCAAACACACATTCAAACTAAAGGAACCAGCCTGTTTGGGAAATGTGAGAAGTAGAAAGTACAGGTATTTGTGTTCAACATGTGAGAAGTAGAAAGTACAGGTATTTGTGTTCAACATGTAAGAAGTAGAAAGTACAGGTATTTGTGTTCAACATGTGAGAAGTAGAAAGTACAGGTATTTGTGTTCAACATGTAAGAAGTAGAAAGTACAGGTATTTGTGTTCAACATGTAAGAAGTAGAAAGTACAGGTATTTGGGTTCAAAATGTAAGAAGTAGAAAGTACAGGTATTTGTGTTCAACATGTAAGAAGTAGAAAGTACAGGTATTTGTGTTCAACATGTGAGAAGTAGAAAGTACAGGTATTTGTGTTTCAACATGTAAGAAGTAGAAAGTACAGGTATTTGGGTTCAACATGTAAGAAGTAGAAAGTACAGGTATTTGGGTGTTCAACATGTAAGAAGTAGAAAGTACAGGTATTTGTGTTCAACATGTAAGAAGTAGAAAGTACAGGTATTTGAGTTCAACATGTAAGAAGTAGAAAGTACAGGTATTTGTGTTCAACATGTAGAAGTAGAAAGTACAGTATTTGAGTCAAACATGTAGAAGTAGAAAAGTACAGGTATTGTGTTCACATTAAGAAGTAGAAAGTACAGGTATTTGTGTTCAAACATGTAAGAAGTAGTAGAAGAAAGTACAGGTATTTGAGTTCAACATGTAAGAAGTAGAAAGTACAGGTATTTGTGTTCAACATGTGAGAAGTAGAAAGTACAGGTATTTGTGTTCAACATGTAAGAAGTAGAAAGTACAGGTATTTGTGTTCAACTGTAAGAAGTAGAAAGTACAGGTATTTGGGTTTCAAAAAGTGTAAGAAGTAGAAAGTACAGGTATATTGTGTTTCAAACATGTGAGAAGTAGAAAGTACAGGTATTTGTGTTCACATGTAAGAAGTAGAAAGTACAGGTATTTGGGTTCAACATTTAAGAAGTAGAAAGTACAGGTATTTGTGTTCAACATGTAAGAAGTAGAAAAGTACAGGTATTTGTGTTCAACATGTAGAAGTAGAAAGTACAGGGTATTTGTGTTCAACATGTGAGAAGTAGAAAGTACAGGTATTTGTGTTCAACATGTAAGAAGTAGAAAGTACAGGTATTTGGGGTTCAACATTTAAGAAGTAGAAAGTACAGGTATTTGTGTTCAACATGTGAGAAGTAGAAAGTAACAGGTATTTGTGTTCAACATGTAAGAAGTAGAAAGTACAGGTATTTGGGTTCAACATTTAAGAAGTAGAAAGTACAGGTATTTGTGTTCAACATGTGAGAAGTAGAAAGTACAGGTATTTGTGTTCAACATGTAAGAAGTAGAAAGTACAGGTATTTGGGTTCAACATTTAAGAAGTAGAAAGTACAGGTATTTGTGTTCAACATGTAAGAAGTAGAAAGTACAGGTATTTGGGTCCAACATGTAAGAAGTAGAAAGTACAGGTATTTGTGTTCAACATGTAAGAAGTAGAAAGTACAGGTATTTGTGTTCAACATGTGAGAAGTAGAAAGTACAGGTATTTGTGTTCAACATGTAAGAAGTAGAAAGTACAGGTATTTGTGTTCAACATGTAAGAAGTAGAAAGTACAGGTATTTGTGTTCAACATGTAAGAAGTAGAAAGTACAGGTATTTGTGTTCAACATGTAAGAAGTAGAAAGTACAGGTATTTGGTGTTCAACATGTGAGAAGTAGAAAGTACAGGTATTTGTGTTCAACATGTGAGAAGTAGAAGTACAGGTATTTGTGTTCAACATGTAAGAAGTAGAAAGTACAGGTATTTGTGTTCAACATGTAAGAAGTAGAAGTACAGGTATTTGGGTTCACATGTGAGAAGTAGAAAGTACAGGTATTTGGGTTCAACATGTAAGAAGTAGAAAGTACAGGTATTTGTTCAACATGTAAGAGTAGAAAGTACAGGTATTTGTGTTCAACATGTAAAGTAGAAAGTACAGGTATTTGTGTTCAACATGTAAGAAGTAGAAAGTACAGGTATTTGTGTTCAACATGTAAGAAGTAGAAAGTACAGGTATTTGGTTCAACATGTGAAGTAAGAGAAAGTACAGGTATTTGTGTTCAACATGTAAGAAGTAGAAAGTACAGGTATTTGTGTTCAACATGTAAGAAGTAGAAAGTACAGGTATTTGTGTTCAACATGTAAGAGTAGAAAGTACAGGTATTTGGGTTCAACATGTGAAGTAGAAAGTACAGGTATTTGTGTTCAACATGTAGAAGTAGAAAGTACAGGTATTTGTGTTCAACATGTAAGAGTAGAAAGTACAGGTATTTGTGTTCAATGTAGAAGTAGAAAGTACAGGTATTTGTGTTCAACATGTAAGAAGTAGAAAGTACAGGTATTTGTGTTCAACATGTAAGAAGTAGAAAGTACAGGTATTTGTGTTCAACATGTAAGTAGAAAGTACAGGTATTTGTGTTCAACATGTAAGATAGAAAGTACAGGTATTTGTGGTTCAACAATGTAAAATAGAAAGTACAGGTATTTGTGTTCAACATGTAAGAAGTAGAAAGTACAGGTATTTGTGTTCAACATGTAAGAAGTAGAAAGTAAGGTATTTGGTTCAACATGTAAGAAGTAGAAAGTACAGGTATTTGTGTTCAACATGTAAGAAGTAGAAAGTACAGGTATTTGGGTTCAACATGTAAGAAGTAGAAAGTACAGGTATTTGGTTCAACATGTAGAAGTAGAAAGTACAGGTATTTGTGTTCAACAGTAAGAAGTAGAAAGTACAGGTATTTGTGTTCAACATGTAAGAAGTAGAAAGTACAGGTATTTGTGTTCAACATGTAGAAGTAGAAGTACAGGTATTTGTGTTCAACATGTAAGAAGTAGAAGTACAGGTATTTGGTTCAACATGTAGAAGTAGAAGTACAGGTATTTGTGTTCAACATGTAAGAAGTAGAAAGTACAGGTATTTGGTTTCAACATGTGAGTAGAAAGTACAAGTATTTGTTCAACATGTAAGAAGTAAAAGTACAGGTATTTGTGTTCAACATGTAAGAAGTAGAAAGTACAGGTATTTGTGTTCAACATGTAAGAAGTAGAAAGTACAGGTTTTGTGTTCAACATGTAAGAAGTAGAAAGTACAGGTATTTGTGTTCAACATGTAAGAAGTAGAAAGTACAGGTATTTGTGTTCACATGTAGAAGTAGTAAAGTACAGGTATTTGTGTTCAACATGTAAGAAGTAGAAAGTACAGGTATTTGTGTTCAACATGTAAGAAGTAGAAAGTACAGGTATTTGTGTTCAACATGTAAGAAGTAGAAAGTACAGGTATTTGGGTTCAACATGTAAGAAGTAGAAAGTACAGGTATTTGTGTTCAACATGTAAGAAGTAGTAAGTACAGGTATTTGTGTTCAACATGTAAGAAGTAGAAAGTACAGGTATTTGGGTTCAACATGTAAGAAGTAGAAAGTACAGGTATTTGTGTTCAACATGTAAGAAGTAGAAAGTACAGGTATTTGGGTTCAACATGTGAGAAGTAGAAAGTACAAGTATTTGTGTTCAAAGTGTAAGAAGTAGAAAGTACAGGTATTTGTGTTCAACATGTAAGAAGTAGAAAGTACAGGTATTTGTGTTCAACATGTAAGAAGTAGAAAGTACAGGTATTTGTGTTCAACATGTAAGAAGTAGAAAGTACAGGTATTTGTGTTCAACATGTAAGAAGTAGAAAGTACAGGTATTTGTGTTCACACATGTAAGAAGTAGAAGGAAGTACAGGTATTTGTGTTCAACATGTAAGAAGTAGAAAGTACAGGTATTTGTGTTCAAACATGTAAGAAGTAGAAAGTACAGGTATTTGTGTTCAACATGTAAGAAGTAGAAAGTACAGGTATTTGTGTTCAACATGTAAGAAGTAGAAAGTACAGGTATTGTGTTCAACATGTAAGAAGTAGAAAGTAAAAAGTCGTCAGAAAAATAAGTAGTGGAGTAAAGTACTGATACCAGAAACATGTACTTAAGTACAGTAACAAAGTATTTGTACTCCACTATTTCCCACCTCCTGGTCATATTGTATTTGCATTTATTTTTGTTCCAGGGTCTGATGTGACCCCTAACTACAGCGACAGCAGCCCCTCCAACATCAGCCTCAGCCTCTGGTGCTCCTGCAGGGGGACAGGAGCTCAGGAGAGAGAGTGTGAGGCCTTCCATAGAGACTTCACACACAACTGCCTGGCCTCAGGTGAGTCACACACACACACACACACACACACACACACACACAACAACACACACACACACCAACACACACAACACACACACACACAACACACACACAACACACACACACACACAACACACAAACACACACACACACACACGCACACACACACACACACACACACACACACACACGCACACACACACACACGCACACACACAATGTATATATAATATCCTGCTTATATTGTGTTACTGTACATTTTATATTTCCACATGTATATTTTTAACTTTTTTAATGCTATTTTATTTCTAATTGAGACGTATCAATAAAGTACTTCTTATCTAATCTTCCTCCTGTTCCTGGTCTGTCTTTGGATTTAGAAACCACTCACAGTGCAGATTATTTAATGACGCACTGCTGAGGGATATGAATGATTTATCTCAGAGAATAAAGGGCAACACTCCCTCTGTTTTACATTAATGTTTTGAATCTGATTGGTTGCTACTCTACACTTCGTCGTCTCAGGATCAATCTCAGGATCCATGTATCTGTGATCCTCTCCAGAATGGAAGGAGTCATCACATACAGAGCATCAACTAGTTCCTGAACAGTGTCCTTCACATGCTGATATCCAAGAGAGGGAGTTACACAGTCACAAGATGGAGGAATAGAAAGCAGTATTCAATGTTTACTTCAGATTAGCTCCACGTCAGAAATGATCATGCTTGTCATATGTCTATCTCCATAGAGGCTGAATCATCATGTTAATCACATAGCTATCATATGCCTCAAACAGTCCTGATGCTCTTCTAGGTAATCATACATCCTGTCATGTTCACAGCTACAGTTGGGGTACCTTTGTTATCATGTGGACTGATTTTCCTAACAGGGAATAAGTATTCTGATTCTGTTACAGAGAATGCCATCCAGTCTTTTGGTTATGGATCAGAAGGAGGAACTCTCCACGTCACTGAACCGCCCTCCAGCTTCCTCCCCCCCGCCCCCCCGCTGCAGGGAAACACTCTGAAGCCCCTGGACAACGCCTGCATGTTCTCCACCTGCGCCAACCTGCAGGTGAGGCTGAATGTGTGACGCTAACAAAGGTTTATCATACTTAAATGTTTAGTTCAGCAGGATAAATCTATTATTTCTGAAGTAAAAAGCTAATGTTGGGCTATAAAGGAACTACAGCACGGTCACATGACTTCACGTCACCACCGCTAAGCTAAAGGTGGCTAATGTTGGGCTATAAAGGAACTACAGCACGGTCCACATGACTTCACGTCACCACCGCTAAGCTAAAGGTGGCTAATGTTGGGCTATAAAGGAACTACAGCACGGTCACATGACTTCACGTCACCACCGCTAAGCTAAAGGTGGCTAATGTTGGGCTATAAAGGAACTACAACACGGTCACATGACTTCACGTCACCACCGCTAAGCTAAAGGCGGCTAATGTTGGGCTATAAAGGAACTACAGCACGGTCACATGACTTCACGTCACCACCGCTAAGCTAAAGGTGGCTAATGTTGGGCTATAAAGGAACTACGGCACAGTCACATGACTTCACGTCTCCACCGCTAAGCTAAAGGTGGCTAATGTTGGGCTATAAAGGAACTACAGCACGGTCACATGACTTCACGTCACCACCGCTAAGCTAAAGGTGGCTAATGTTGGGCTATAAAGGAACTACGGCACGGTCACATGACTTCACGTCACCACCGCTAAGCTAAAGGTGGCTAATGTTGGGCTATAAAGGAACTACAGCACGGTCACATGACTTCACGTCACCACCGCTAAGCTAAAGGTGGCTAATGTTGGGCTATAAAGGAACTACAACACGGTCACATGACTTCACGTCACCACCGCTAAGCTAAAGGCGGCTAATGTTGGGCTATAAAGGAATTACAACACGGTCACATGACTTCACGTCACCACCGCTAAGCTAAAGGTGGCTAATGTTGGGCTATAAAAGGAACTACGGCACAGTCACATGACTTCACGTCTCCACCGCCTAAGCTAAAGGTGGCTAATGTTGGGCTATAAAGGAACTACAGCACGGTCACATGACTTCACGTCACCACCGCTAAGCTAAAGGTGGCTAATGTTGGGCTATAAAGGAACTACGGCACGGTCACATGACTTCACGTCACCACCGCTAAGCTAAAGGTGGCTAATGTTGGGCTATAAAGGAACTACAGCACGGTCACATGACTTCACGTCACCACCGCTAAGCTAAAATTGGTCTATTAGTGAACGGATATTTTAAGCAGTTTGATTCGTTGTGTAATTAATCACAATTGTACATGGGTAGTATATGAACGTATTAAATGCATTTCATTATTCAATCATCACAACCTTTATTTCTGACTCGTGAATCCATTGAGATAGAACCTCTTAACAATACACCAGAGTTAAATCCCTAACAGGAGATCATATAGGCGACAAGAAACACATTCACAACCTCAATTATAAATAGAGCAGTTGAATTATTAAAGCAATTAAATAAACTAAAACTGGAACAACTGCAAGTGAAATGGGACAACATTAAAAATGTAAATCACCCTAAGGATGAAAGTGACGTAACCTTTGGATTGTTTTGCACGTTATTCCATACACTCCATATTTACTTATTTAGTCAAACATTCGGCACACTCACGGGAGAAAGACTCACGGGGAGAAAGACTCCACGGGGAGAAAGACTCACGGAGAGAAAGACTCAACGGGGAGAAAGACTCACGGAGAGAAGACTCACGGAGAGAAAGAAGCTCACGGAGAGAAAGACTCACGGAGAGAAAGACTCACGGAGAGAAGACTCACGGAGAGAAAGACTCACGGAGAGAAAGACTCACGGGAAAAGACTCACGGAGAGAAAGACTCACGGAGAGAAAAGACTCACGGAGAGAAAGACTCACGGAGAGAAGACTCACGGGGAGAAAGACTCACGGGGAGAAAGACTTCACGGAGAGAAAGACCTCACGGGGAGAAAGACTCACGGGGAGAAAGACTCACGGAGAGAAAGACTCACGAGAGAAAGACTCACGGGGAGGAGAGGAAGACTCAGCGAGAGAAAGACTCAGAGAGAGAAGACTCACGGAGAGAAAGACTCACGGAGAGAAGAGAGAGAAAGACTCACGAGAGAAGACTCACGGAGAGAAAGACTCACGGAGGAGAAAGACTCACGGGAGAAACCTCACGAGAGAAAGACTCACGGAGATAAAGACTCAGAGAGAGAAAGACTCACGGAGAGAAAGAATCACGGATGAGAAAGACTCACATCGATGAGTGTTATAATTATCTGCAGCAATAAATCTGAGGGAGAACCGAATCTGCAGCTGAAGCGTTCATGAATAAAATGACTCCAAAACTGATTAGAAAGTTCCCTCAATTAGAGTCCTTCTGTCACTCTTTAGTGTCCCCTGGTCTCCAGCTGTGTGCGTCACTCTTTAGTGTCCCCTGGTCCTCCAGCTGGTGCGTCACTCTTTAGTGTCCCCTGGTCTCCCAGCTGTGTGCGTCACTACTTTAGTGTCCCCTGGTCTCCAGCTGTGTGCGTCACTCTTTAGTGTCCCCTGGTCTCCCAGCTGTGTGCGTCAACTCTTTAGTGTCCCCTGGTCTCTCCCAGCTGTGTGCGTCACTCTTTAGTGTCCCCTGGTCTCCAGCTGTGTGCGTCACTCTTAGTGTCCACTGGTCTCCCAGCTGTGTGCGTCACTCGTTAGTGTCCCCCTGGTCTCCCAGCTGTGTGCGTCACTCTTTAGTGTCCCCTGGTCTCCAGCTATGTGCGTCACTCTTTAGTGTCCCCTGGTCTCCTAGCTGTGTGCGTCACTCTTTAGTGTCCCCTTGTCTCCCAGCTGTGTGCGTCACTCTTTAGTGTCCCCTGGTCTCCCAGCTGTGTGCGTCACTCTTTAGTGTCCCCTGGTGTCCCAGCTGTGTGCGTCACTCTTTAGTGTCCCCTGGTCTCCAGCTGTGTGCGTCACTCTTTAGTGTCCCCTGGTCTCCAGCTGTGTGCGTCACTCTTTAGTGTCCCCTGGTCTCCCAGCTGTGTGCGTCACTCTTTAGTGTCCCCTGGTCTCCTTTGTGTTTTGAGCTTCTTAAAATCACAATATAGTTGTTTTTTATTTGACAAAACTAATTTCAATGAACAGAATATGACTATAAACACATTTTGTTGCACATACTGTGTCATTCTCCATCAATATTTCCATTAGCAATGTATTAACTGGATTTTAAGGTGTAATGTTGAGTTTAAGCAATATTGATCTTCAGTAAAAAAGTTAGATACAACCTCCGTCGCACCGTTTCCTGCCCATAAAACTCCAAACCTATATTTGTCTGAACTCCCCTGCCTCTATAGTTCCTGTTCTCTGTGTTTTGACAGAGCATCAGTTTCCTCTGGTGTTCATGGGAAAGAGAGGAAGTGTCTGTAGAAAGAGAAATAAATGCACTCAGACAGTAAAGTATATCCAGACTGTCGGAACAGATTTATTTACCCGCCGCTCTCTCCGTCACCTTCACACACATTAGACTGTCAAACCCCGTCCATTACGTACAGGAGAGGTTAAAGGACGTTATAAATTGCTTTCCATTATGTACGAGATATAAAGCATGAATTATAGAATACCTCTACATATATAATATTACTGAAAATAGACGGCAGCTTCATTTCGAACAATTCTAATGATACAATATGAGCTGGATGTAAGGTTGCTTTATTTATAGAGAACATTGCAGACACAAAGGCAACTAAAAGTGATTCATATAAGTATTGTTACAAAACAAATGTGAGGCAAAACAATATGTAATAAGAGCGATAAAAATCAGCATTTGAAATACAGCAGATTCTGCAAGAGCTGCAGAAGTGTTTGAATATAATATATTTAAGCTGCGGTAAACCGAGAAGTTCTGAGCCTCCATTTTAAAATGGAGGTTTATTCCAGATCTGCGGTGCATAGAAGCTGAAAGCTGCTTCCACATGTCTGGTTATCTTTTCATCAAGTCAACGAAAGTAGGAAAATACCATGTTACGTCCCGGCTCGTGGAAAGTGGAAACATGACCCTACATTAGAAGTTGTTTATTGAGTGAGCTCAATCCAACTGGCAACAAGCAGCCACAAGCCAAAGGAAAGGGCCGCAAAGGAAAGGGCCACAAAGGAAAGGGCCACAAAGTAAAGGGCCGCAACCCAAAGGAAAGGGCCACAAGCCAAAGGAAAGGGCCGCAACCCAAAGGAAAGGGCCACAAAGGAAAGGGCCGCAAAGGAAAGGGCCACAAAGGAAAGGGCCGCAACCCAAAGGAAAGGGCCACAAAGGAAAGGGCCGCAACCCAAAGGAAAGGGCCGCAACCCAAAGGAAAGGGCCACAAAGGAAAGGGCCGCAACCCAAAGGAAAGGGCCGCAAAGGAAAGGGCCGCAACCCAAAGGAAAGGGCCACAAAGGAAAGGGCCACAACCCAAAGGAAAGGGCCACAACCCAAAGGAAAGGGCCGTAACCCAAAGGAAAGGGCCGCAACCCAAAGGAAAGGGCCACAACCCAAAGGAAAGGGCCGCAAAGGAAAGGGCCGTAACCCAAAGGAAAGGGCCACAAAGGAAAGGGCCACAAAGGAAAGGGCCGCAACCCAAAGGAAAGGGCCACAAAGGAAAGGGCCGCAACCCAAAGGAAAGGGCCGCAACCCAAAGGAAAGGGCCACAAAGGAAAGGGCCCGCAACCCAAAGGAAAGGGCCGCAAAGGAAAGGGCCGCAACCCAAAGGAAAGGGCCACAAAGGAAAGGGGCCACAACCCCAAAGGAAAGGGCCACAACCCAAAGGAAAGGGCCGTAACCCAAAGGAAAGGGCCGCAACCCCAAGGAAAGGGCCACAACCCAAAGGAAAGGGCCGCAAAGGAAAGGGCCGTAACCCAAAGGAAAGGGCCACAAAGGAAAGGGCCACAAAGGAAAGGGCCGCAACCCAAAGGAAAGGGCCGCAACCCAAAGGAAAGGGCCACAAAGGAAAGGGCCGCAACCCAAAGGAAAGGGCCACAAAGGAAAGGGCCACAACCCAAAGGAAAGGGCCACAACCCAAAGGAAAGGGCCGCAAAGGAAAGGG